TAAAAGCCCTTGTGTACAATTTTAACATCCTCCCAACGACTATTCGGCTCGTACAAATGACCGCTAAAACAAAACAATGAAAATCACTTGAGGGTGCTAAACGCACGCCAGCGAGCTGAATTTTAATATAAAATATATATTTTGTATCAGAATACAACGCATATGTGTTCTTTTTGAAGTGTCCTTTTATTAAGAAAAATGACCCAGTACGCATCTCTAACCTTGTTGAAAATATTTCCTCGCCTAATCCGAAAGAATTGGTATTAGCGCGTCGCAACTAAAACAAATCAACGGTCGACTCCACGTTTCATCCTGTAAGAAAAAAACGTAGCCGATGTCAGGCATGTAGTGGTTTAAACCTTAGATACCCCCACCTACCTAAAATTGGCATTCAAAGGAGTTGAGGAAATTTTTTGCGTAGTAACACATAAGGTACATACTAAAACAAAGAACATCTATAAAATACAAACCACACAAGTGCAAAAACGCTTAGAAAGTGCTAAACATTTATATTTTTTCAGTAAATTTTTTTCAAGGAAGTCGTTGTTGGTTGTCGAGATTGTAAATTGGTCGAAGTGATATAAATTAATAATTAACTTATATAGAGAAAGGTCGGTAAACTATGGTCATCTAGCAAACCCGTTATGATGTAAATAAGGTATGTCTGTTCTAATGAGTATGTAGTGTTTTCATTATTCTTATGTTGTTTGAGCATATAGTAAAAAAATAAAATTTTGTAAGAAATATTAACGTAAGCATAAGATCGTTGAAGAATATTAATTGTATTAAATGAACATTATATCTCTTGTTTGTTTCCGACACAAAAAGTTAAATTATAAGCGATATTATGCTTTGATTTCATAAGAGATAACATTATGATTTTCATCAATATTTTTTTTTACTGTTGTTATGCATTAAAAGCAAATATACAAAATAAAATATTGTAATAAACTTAGTGTTTATCTTATATTTACACTTACATAGTAAAATATTTATTTTGCAGTTCGAGCACAACTGAACAAATGATAAATATTATGATTGCATTTGAATATTGAAAGTATTACATCATTATAACTGTTAATATATTTATGTAAAATTTATTTGCTTATATTCGATGACTGTTTCATGTAATGTTGTTCATTCACAATGTTTTTTTTGAAACGAAATATATAAAAGTTTAACCGATTTTACTTATGCATATGGTTTTGAAATATAAATTTGTGTGTGTTTATTATAGGTATGGACATGGTAAAGTGATACACGTAATATGCTTTCATGAATAGGAAGCTGACCGTCTATTAAACCATCAGTTTCCCCGACACCCCCAAACCAGTATTCGGCGAGTTAGGACTAAGTTTTTCAGAAGGGCAGCGACCATTCGTTAGCGGCGATTGCGTCCCTCAATTAAAAAGTATTTTGGCGATTTTTTACGCTTAACATAATAAGCAGAAAAATATAAAAATTTGGAATCTCGTAGGTTAAACTGATGATTTATCTAAATGTTTTATAAAAAAAATAATAAAAAAATGATTTTTACCTAGGCTACCAGTTGGGCCGCTCGAGTCCCGGGTAGCCAGCCCGTGCAAGGACCAAGGAATGTCCCTGAAAACAAAAAACAAAATAAAAAAATCCGAGAAAAAACTATGTTACGCAAAAAAATAAACTGAACAACTTTTGCTGGAGGGTCACATCGAAATTATTCACGAAATTTAAAATAAAAAATAAAATTTAAAAATAATTCTTTTATTTTGATGTTTTTTATTTTAATTGGCCCGGTCGGGCAAGTGACCCCGGACTACTCCGGTAGCCGAGATTTTTACCTTAAAATAAGTGTCGTGCCAACTTGGTGCATTTTCCATTTTTGCCTCTCCATAACGTGTGAGCCAACAAAAAAAATAACCCAACTTCAGTAATTTTTCACTCTCATAAAATACATTGAAAAACGTGAAAATTTGAAAGGTCCGTCAATTAGGTCATATGATCTTACAAAGATAAATATCGATAAAAATCAAATAAAATAATTTTAAATTTGAAATGAGACTCTCGCCGATTCGGTATACTTTTTATTTCTGTCAATTTGTGACATGTGGACCAACTAAAAAAATATCATAACTTCAGTGGTTTTTCGCTCTCAAAAGAATGTGTAGAAAAACTTGAAAATGAAGGGTCTATAGATTAACTTGTCGTCGTTCCAAAAAAAATATTTAAAAAAAAAATAAAAAAAATTTAGCTGTAAAATAAATTGAGATGGCAGTTCAACATATTAAAAAATTTTGGCATTATGCATGTGCATGCAATCCTAGTGGTAACCCTGATGAAAAAATGCTATCAGTCTCCCAAGGTTTTCCATGGAGGGATGACTGGTGAATTAAATGTACCTCATGACATTGGCTAAAAGGAAAATCCCCGTAGTACGTTCACACATATTACGTCAAACTTGGATTCGTTTTTGACTACCTTTTTTTTCCCCAACACAACATACCATAAATAAAACTGTATTGAGCCATGTTTATATCTGTTATACAAATAAAAAGTCTGTAAGTCTCCATGTCATTTGAAATAACCTTTTATAAGTCGAAGTTAGTCATTTTTTATGCCATCATTATCATCGACAATATTTTTTTTATTTCGGCATAATCTGGTACGCGAAAAAAATAAAATAAAATAAAATGCATCAAAGCATTGGGTACGTAAGTAGGTCCGACGAAGAAGAATGAGAATGAAAAGGAATAACATATTTAGTGTTTGAGAGCACCTTATTCCATTGTTAGAACAAGAGACATAAATGAGGAAGAACAAGAGGGGGAACAATACAAAAAATGACACGAAAATCTGGTTGAGGAGCAAGTGGAAGGAAAAAAAGAAGAAAATGAGGAATGAGGGGAAGAAAAAAAACAGAAAAGGATAAAGCGGAAGATAAAAAAAATAAAAAAAAAGAAGGAGAGGAATTGAAAATAACAACTTATTGCATAAATGAAAATAATGAAAACTAGATTAAATAAATATACAATCAAAGAGAGAGAGAGAGAAAAAAAAAACAAAAAAAAACGGAGACGATCTGCTCAACAACGTATCATGCCCCAGTTATAATGAAAGATGAGACAACACCGTTGTCGGTGCGAATACCCTTATAAGGTATTCGCCCTGTTTTTAGTAAGTAATAGAAAATAAGCTTGATTTGAAAATTGAGTACACCGTGCGAGTCGGGACTGTATTTTCTTTTATGCTGACTAAATATTTAACTGAAAGGAGAGAGTGTGTCGACTTGCAGTTTGAACGCGCGTGTGATCTTTTATTTTGATGATTGTAAAGGCGTCACAGTTGCCGACCAACTTCTGTTTTTTATTAAACTATGATTAAATAATTTTTTCTTCTGATCTGTATGTTTGGTCGTGACGTGTACGTGTGTGGAGGCGACATCGTCAGGACCAGTGTGAGGTTTGTCTGCAAGTTCTGCAGATTTATAGGTGGCTATTTTAATTTTTATTTGAGAGTACGCTTGAAGTCGTGTAGCATGAGGCACAACAAAACTTATGGTCGCAGTGTCGGGATAGAAACCCTGATAAGGCTACCTGCCTTGTATTTTAAATGTCGGACAAAGTCCGAATTTTGATGTAAGTTTGTAAGATTTTGTCTGATGAAATAGACATGCCATTGGAATATTCCGACTCGTCCGCGATTTCCGACAAGACCACAGGGATGCGCGGTTATGGATACACTAAAGTTAGACCTATTCTACCTAAAACAATGTCGCGCGACTGCTAAGCCGTGCGATTCAGGGTTTAAGTAGGTTGAAAAAGGGTCGTCGCAACGAAGGCTGGAGCCTAGGCGCAGAAGGAATAGGAAGTTTTATTTTTGTTCGGTTCGCCGGACTTTCGCGCCACGGTCCGGAGGGGATGGCGTTATAGCCTATTGAGTGGGGCAATTATTAAGGCCGTGGGCCGCTAACCCGACCAGCCAGCCACGGTAACAGGCAGGCTTAGTAGGCAAAACCTGCTAAGCAATCGAGGGCGGCCTGCTGGGCATCGCACCCCTTAATATAGAACGACTACTCCTTTCTCAACATGAGAAAGGAGCTAGCCCAATAGGTATTGCCATTAGACTGTCACCCCACAGACCCACGGATCGAGTCCGAAATGATGCACCTACTGGTGCTAGCTCCTTTTTGGAGAAGCCCAGTATGACCAAGCGTGGTCAATTTCAACCATATGATCTCCAAGATCGCGCGACCAAAATTGACCGCGCAGATTAGCATGGCCTTGCGCAGAGGATGACACGCATAAATCGAGAAATCGTTCGATTTTTTTTCTTTTTCGATTCCCTAAAGGGGATCGAACTCCGGTGTGCATAGCAGAAGGGGAAAGGGGAAGGCGCCAACAAGGCGCAGGGCCAGATGTCGTAGCCGTTGCCAACTAATAATATGAGCTGTGTCGAACAAGTACTTTGTGGAACGGACAAGTGGACGCGATTTGAACTTGTAGGTCGCTGGTTTTCCTTTTTGGATTTGTGTATTTGACTTTCTTGTAGGCCTTCGTACGGGGCTCTGTATTTGATACTTTTTTGGACTAGGTTAGTTGACCAGCGTTTCGGTACTTTCTAGGCGTAGTTTCTGACTTCGTAGACAACTGCTCTGATGAGATATAAGCAGTTCGTGAGAAACTTCAAGCACCGGCTTTCAAAGACCCCTGATGAGTCGTGGTGGGCGACCACGTGAAACCGGTCCCCCTGATGAGTCGTGGTGGGCGGCCACGCGAAACCGGTCGGGTCCTACGCCAGGCAGCTTCGGTCGCAGTGTACTTCATGATTTTCTTAATATCAAGTCGCGTTCGGGTTTCGTCATACGACTGCTTTTTCACGAGTCTCTCTCCTCTATCCCTTCTCCTTCCATCTTTTCTCCCCCCCTCTCCACCTCTTGCTGATTGATTGAAGTTGGCAGGTTTGGTCTGTTCATCTCTTGTTTCGTGAATGCTGTAAGCTGACTTTCATGCGCGAGGTAACCGGCGTAGGAGTCGTACTATCGTTGAGTGGCCTCGAGTTATCATGGCGACGAACGACAATAACCGGTACTTCGACAATCGATCTTGCTATAATTGTGGTCAGACTGGTCACATATCTCGATACTGTCCTCTTCTCGATAAGCGTACTAATCTTCCTCCCTCGTCTAGTACTGCGATCGTCACTGCTCGGCCTTTGTTGACCTTTCCTGCTGGTAGCTCTACTGGTGCTAACTCGGGTAGTAGTAATTATTCTGGCCAACAGTCTGGGCAGTATTCTGACCGAGGATGGCTGCGCAATCGGGTGTTTACGCTCGAGGGGATTGTATCGAAGATTAAAGAGAAGCACGACGCGGACGAGGCCAAGGAGCAGGTTGCTAAGGAAGAAGAACAAAGTAAGATGAAGGAAAAAGAGGACGAAGATCGCAGGTCACATGAGAAATTGGAGAGAGAAGAACGGCAATCGAAGATGAGACAGGATCTGAACTCCCGATGGGAAATGGTGTGTCAGAAAATCGACAAGAAGGACAAAGAGTGCAATGAGGTGGCGAAGCTGCGAGAGGAAATTGCTAAGTTGACACAACGCAACAACGCGGGTGAGCCATCTACTTCGGTGATGAAACCATCTGTTGACTTCGATTTTGTTGAACGGCTGAAACAAGAGCAAGAGGAGTTACGTGCGATTGCCGATAAGAGGTTTGCCATGCTTGAGGAGAAGATCTCCGGCCTCGTAAAAGAGAAAAATGAAGTTGAGGCGGATGCAGAGCTTTGGAAAGCCGAAGCCCTGCGTCAAGGGAACAAACGAGGGAGTATTGCAATAGCAACTCCTGACACGGAGGCAAGGGTTCGACAGCGGGGAACGCCATGCAGACCACCCACGGATTATCGAGTTAATCCTACACTCAAGGGAATCGTGGATCGACCCAATCTGGAAGTCAACGCGGTGAAGGAGTTGCGATTTAAGGATGCTCACGATAAAATCGAGGCTGAGAAGGAAGTTGAGAGATTGAAGGAAGCTATGGCTAGACTTGAGATGGTGAGGGAGAAGGCAACTAACCTGAAGAGCAAAGTGGATGACGCAACGGGTCCTTCTGCTAAGAAGGCAAGTGGTACCTCCGCCAAGAAGAAGATGTGTGTGGTTTCGCCAGCTGAATCGGTGGATGAACGAGAGGCTTTCGCACGGATGCAACGTAAGCAATTGAAGTTGAACAAAGAGCAAGTGGTGGCAATTTGTGATAAGGAGGGGATAACATTTACCAAGCTATAGCAAACGAAGGAAGAAATTGTGTGTCCGAGGGTGGCCAGAGCTTTCAATGAAGAGAAGGTTAAGAGTGTCTCCGTGGTCGAGGTTACCGAGGAGGAAAGTGAAGATTTGGGGAAGAATGACGGGCAAGACACAACGACCTCTTAGTGTCTTGCCCGGGCGCGACTGCACTCTCGAATACTGCTAGATATCTGTGTAAGTTTAGAACCTTCTCTTCTGAGTTATTACGGAGCAAACCGGTTAATCTCTTGTAGAGTTTTGTTGTGTGCCTCCTGATTGTGTTGGGACAAGTGCCTTGGGGTAAGAAGCTTATTCCATTTATTTCCGATCATTGGACGAGTGATGTTAGTAATTTTAATGAGTGGAATGGACCAGTTGTGTAGGCCCTGTTTTCCCCATGGTGTCGGCATATGTTTATTGGGAGTACTAAGCGGGATGTTCATACAAGGTGGTTTGAGCATGTCTATCGCGCAACGCATGCGAACGTAATTGATGAACATAGGCGAAACGAACGACTTTACAGGTGGTTGAGGCAAACCGGGTGTGCTAATTATGTTGCTATTCCGCTATGTGCTTGTTCCAAAGAGGATGTGTTAGAGACTGAGAATTTTTTTATTCGGTTGTTGTATCCGACACTTAATGTTCGTGATAAGAGAAGAAGGACTAAAAAATGTAGACCGGGATGTCGGGAAAGAAGGAGACATGGTCGATTGAATGCGGTAGAGAATTGTGTTGTTCCTAGCACATCGGGTAGATTTGTTTGCTTTCACTCCAGTATTGGGTTGGAGACAAGAAGTCTTCGTGCGATTCTTGACCAATGCAGGGATTCGAAACGACATAGTGTTTTCATCGTGTGCTCTGGTGGTGACCTTCTCATTGACAAGTGCAAGATTCTGGAGCGGTTATATGGCGGAAGTATTGTATCCAGTAGGTTCGGAAGGGTGGAATTGAAACATGCTAAGGGATGGCGGAAGGGCGGGGTGAGTCTCTTTGTCGATAACGTGATACCTTTTCTATGTCGTTCGTTGGTTTATAAAGGTCCTCTGGTCGGCTTTCTCAGTAATCCATCGAGCCGTCGTCTCATATTTTCCTGGAGTCTTGATCAGTTGGTGTATGGGTATTCGGCTATTCGGACCTTCACCGCGAAACAGAGCAGAACTAGGCTACGGGGTTTGTTGTCCTCGCACATTCGATCTCGATTTGGTATTCAAGTACGGCAGAGGCTGGTGATTCGAGTTGTGTACGAGGAATCTATTTGTAAGTCTAAGGTTCGACTGCTGTGTTGTGGAATTTTGTCGGCTTTAGATATTAATTTTGCTTGAAAATCTATGTTGATTAGACGACTACGAGTGGTTTGGTGTAAGAATCGCACCGTGGGTGATATTATTCATAATTTTCGTGCTTTCTCTCACTCTCGGCAGTTCTGATGCACATACATGCAGTGTGATTCCAGACTTCCTCGGGTCAATGGGCACGTGGCATTTAGAGTAAATGATTTCTGAGTTGTTTCCTGCATGGTTCCGTAACTCGAGGAATCTTCTTCGTCCGTCTAGACTTTTTTCAGTTAGTATATTAAGGAAACAGATTCTGGTGTCTTTCTCTGCTAATTCTTCTCTTCCTACTATCGATGCACGGTTGGTTTCTTCATCTGCGTTGAAAGACTGTTTTAACTTGTCCTCTTTTCGCTCCTCCAATTTCTCCCCCGATGGCCGTGACTCCTTGTCCGAGAATGATGTTCTTCCCTTCTTGGATTTGTTTAAGGGACTAGTCTGTTCGCCGATCGATTATAACGTCGGGGACACGTATGTTTGTTGTCCCACCGTGTATGGGCAGGGGATGAATAAGTTGTTTATAGGGAATCCAACTTTCTCTGTTCGGAATGAGGGTGAAGATAAAACCTTGTTATCCTGTGGTAAGGATTATGAGTCACTTCAATTGAAACGAGTGGGGGTATGGAAGAAGTCCAGTAAGTTTGGGAGAGCATATTGCATCCCCAAGCATAAGGATGTGGGGAGATGGCGACCGATTTGCCCCCCTTACCCAGAGTGTTTGGCGACCGGTGGAAAGGTGGTGTCTAAGGCGGTCAATGGGATGTTATGGAAGTTGCCAGAAAAGTCAAACCTTAATTTGAAATGTGCAGATGGTTTGTTGCGGGCAATCAAGGGTGTTAATCGAGATTTGGGCGACGATGATGTCCTGGTGGGAGCCTCCTTCGACATCAAGGAGATGTTTTTCAATTTACCGCACGCATCTATTCTTCGAGCTCAACTTGGGTTATCAAGTTTTGGATTTTTGAGGGGGTGGAGGCTGTTGCCGTCAGGAAGCATGGAAAGGGTGCGAAACTGGTGAAAGGAAGGGTTGAATCTGGCTGGCGAAAAATGGAATTGAATGATATTCGTACTTTCGTTGTTTTTGAACTAAGCCATACCTTTGTTTCTGCCGCGGATAGGATCCTCCAACAGATGGTGGGCATTCCGATGGGGAAATCTTCTAGTCCTGCTCTGGCCTGCCTCTTATGTGCCTATAATGAGTTTCTCTTCCTTTCATCTCTTGGATGTGATCGAAAGCTGGTTGCAGGATTCCGGCTGGTTGATGATGTTTCGATCTTCGTTCGGTGTAAGGCTGACCTTCCGGAGACTAGGACTAAGGCTTTAAGTATCATTGATGTCTTCAGCCGATGTTATGACAGCAACCTGGTTTGGAAAGAACTAGTTCAGATACAGGATGAAACTACTTGGGTTGTGAGCTACGGATTGTCAGTGGGAAGATTGGTGTTGTCTGCTCACCTCGGATGAAGAACCAGAAGGTGGAGGTGGGTGGGAAGGTTGTTTTTCAATGTGCGCAGGATTTTGTTTCATCTTCTAACCGGCAGCAGAAGATGGTTGTGATTGGATCTTTTCTTCACAGAGCAAAAACGTATTCGTCAATTGACGGGATGAAGCTACCTTTTCTTCTTGCACTGAAGGATGAGTTATGGAAGAGGGGGTACCTCGACGAGTTTTTCGATGATACCCTTTTTTTTTTTCTTCCAGGAAGTTTGGTGGGCTGGGGGGGGAGTGGCTGCCCCTGTTGACAAGTTGGGGGGATGCTTTGAGAGTCGGGGTCCATGCACCTCGGTTTAGAGGTTAATTGTTCGAAGGCTGGTAGTTGTGTAGTTTAGAACGCGGGGTAATGATTGATAATGAAGGACCGTTTCTTAAGGTCTTATGGTTGTAGTGTCGTGTTGTAGTGTAGATGATGGGTTCGAACCCACGTTTTTTGTGGCTATTGTTGATCAGTTTTTTTGGGGGTGCGCTGCTACAGGGTTTTGAACTCGTGACGTTGGGGATATCTGTTGATCGGGTGCGCCGTTGCAGGGGCGCGAACTAATAATCTGAGTCGTGGCGAACAAGTACTTTGTGGAACGGATAGGTGGACGCGATTTGAACTTGTAGGTCGCTGGTTTTCCTTTTTGGATTTGTGTATTTGACTTTCTTGTAGGCCTTCGTATGGGGCTCTGTATTTGATACTTTTTTGGACTAGGTTTGTTGACCCGCGTTCCTGTACTTTCTAGGCGTCGTACGACTTCTTTTTCACGAGTCCCTCTCCTTTATCCCTTCTCCTTTTGAAGTTGGCAGGTTTGGTCTGTTCATCTCTTGTTTCGTGAATGCTGTAAGCTAACGTTGCCAACGGTAAAAAAAAAAAAAAAAAAAAAAAAAAAAAAAAAAAAAAAAAAAAAAAATCGATGGTAGGCGCCATGTGGCGCATTCAGAAGAGATGGGGACTTACAGTCCCGACGGACGATTGCAGGCGCCCGTAATAATGAGCAACCGACTTTTAGGTAAGTTAAATTTTATTTTTTTTGTTTTTCTTCTTCTGTTATTTCTAGATTTTTAATTTTTTTTTTAGCATATTCCTTAGGTCCTAGCTCAATGCTTGTTCGTTTTGAAAACGGGCAGTTGGGCATTGAAGTGCTTGAACCCGGCGCTTATGGCGTCTGGGTACAGGCGCAGAGATAGAGAGAAGAGGGGGGAAGGAATGACCGAGCCAGGCTGTTTCGTCGGACTTGCACCGACTCATCAGGGGCTGCAACCCCGACAGCCCATCTGAGGATGGGCAAAAACGAGTGAATCTACCAGGGATTGTGGGGATGTGCAAATACCTGCTTTCAGGGCATTGGCACGAATTGCAGGTAAGGTCTGGGGGCAGTTGCTCGTGGGAAAACGAGCAACTATTCCCTCAGCAACTGCTGAGGGAACCACCCCAACCTATGTCTGAATCTGGCTGGGGTCGTGGGCTGTATGCAGGCACAGGCATGAAAGGGGGGGCTGAAAAGATTGAGGGAGAGAGAGGGAAACGAGATAATTGGGAGGAGGAGGGCCTACTCCTCCCAACACTGACAACTGTCCTCCCCGTTTTCAGGGGAGGGCAGAGGTAGAAGGGAGAAAAAGGAAAATGAAAAAAGCCACGGCCACGAATGTGGCCGTGACTACGATCAGATATAGGCCAAACTGGCCTGAATGTGACGCATGCCAGAGGTTGGGGAGTTGAAGAGGTGGCGAGGGGAACTTGGCTGGAAACAACCATTTTCTCGCTGAACCTGCACTCAGTGTGGGGCTGAGTGCAGGGAAAATGGAGAAAAAGAGGGGGGCAGTTGAGTACAACTGCCACCCTAAGTGTGTGGCTGACGTGAGACAACCTTGGTCCGTTGATCTGGCTCAGATCAACGGCCCCAGGCAAGTGACGAATTTTGCCTGGGGGCAGCTGAGGCTGCTGCTGCCTTCCTCAGCCACTACAAAAGAGGCAGCTGTCCCCCAGCTGCCTCACACTTGCCTCCAGCTGCCAGTGTGCGATAGCACACTTGCCTCATCGCTGCAGTGCTGGAGAGGAGGCAGGAGTGCTGTCGGCGGAGCTGGAGGATTGCGAAGGAGCGCTACGAAGGAGGAGACAGCCATAGCCTTGGCTGGAGCACTCTGCTCCACCCCTTTGCATACTGGTCTCGAGGGGGAATCCGAGGCAGCGTGGTGAGGAGCGGCAGCGGAGCGACGGGGAGCGCGGCAACTGGTGGAGGTGTGCTGACCGATATTTT